GATCAACCTGCCGAACAAGTCACCCTACCCGATGGTTGGGGGCCTCCGCTTCTGGGTAAAGTCCTCAGCCTGGCACGTCCTGTTGCTGTTTCTCCTCCAGACGAGCTCCAGTCCTACCTCTACCACGAACAACCCGCTTCAAGCAGAGCCTTCTCAAGGTCCTCCTTCATCCAAAGGGCAATCTCATTCGACATCCTCACAATCCAGTCTACCTCCTTCCCCAACCGTTCACAAAAGCACTCTATCATCCCAGAGTTCCACAATCTCCACGGCAGCTATATCGAGTTTATTCGAAAGATGGACTCATCAGTATACCAAGATCCGATTGATCGATCGATTGCTCTATCTTCCCCTCGACGCTTCTCCCTTTTTGCATGCCCTGAAACCTAACCCACTCGCACCCATGAATGGTCCCAGCTGCAAAAAAGTCGTCTCGGCCGAGGATGTATCAAATAATTCCCCTACCGTCAGGGTCTTGGCCAAATCTGTGGAAATGAGCGGATGGAACGTTAAGGAGCTCTTGTGTGAAATCGCCAAGTTACTTTCCCCACAGTATTCCTTTCAAGAAACTCAAACAGAGAAAGACGAGACGGTGGATAAAGTTATCGAAAAAGCAACGGATATCATGGAGAGAGCTTGTAAAACGAACCCAGAACTAGTTATGATGGCTCTGATTCAAGTCCCTGTGAGTATGGAAAGTTCTTTGCGTTATTGTATCTGTTTGCTTACCCTCCCCCCCCCCTTCTTCTTCTTCTTCTTCTTCTGCTGCTGCTGCAGACACCTTGGGCGATGCTCACAACGACCTGACGGCCCGATTACTCCAGTCTTTCCTCAAAGGGCACCCTTCCCATCAGCTTGTCTTCCTGAGGATTTGGCAGCTCGACCCTGACTTTTTGATGACCGCCTTGCGCGACTTTTACCACGAAAACGAGATGAATGTGACTCGGGTGTTGGACATCACCCAAGACCTCAAGATCCTCGATCAAGTACTAAACTATCAGCCTGATGTCAACATGATCATCGATATCGCCTCACTGGCCAGTCGACGAGAGTATTTGAACTTGGAGAAATGGGTTGGTGATCGGATTGTACAATACGGGAGCTCGTTCATCAACGGTTGCTTGGACTTTTTGAGCAAAAAGGTTAAACACGATCTGCTCCGACAGTCTATCGTCAACCAAGATACCAGTCCAGCCCCCGTTCCAGAATCTGCGACCCTCAGCCTTAGTGCCCCGACGGTATCGATCTTTATCCGGACTATCCGTATGAATCACGAGCTTCTGAGTTTGGAAGAGCTGGAGCGCTTTAAAGAAACTCGAACTCAAGCGATCCAGCTACATCCCAAGTTGATGAATTTCATGCCAGGAAATGAAGACGAACCTGGGATGCAAGTTTCGTCCTTCGATTCAAGAATCGAGGCAGAAGTAGATTCGTTTTACAAAAAAATGTACGATCTTGAATTGTCGGTCGATCATATCATTTTGATCCTCAAGTCGATGCGGGACTCGCCGGATCTCAAAAACCACCAGTTTCTTGCTTGCTTGCTATCAGGACTGTTTGACGAATACAAGTTCTTCTCCACTTACCCATCCAAGGAACTCAATCTCACAGCATCACTATTTGGTTCTCTAATCCGAGAGCAACTGATAGGCTACGTTCCTCTTGGGATCGGTGTCAGATACGTTCTGGATGCTATACGGAATCCCATCGAATCCAAGTGGTACGAGTTTGGCAGTATGGCTCTAAGCAAATTTGTCAATCGATTAGAAGAATGGCCACAGTTAGCATTGGCCGTATCCGAGGTCGAATCTCTCAAATTGACACATCCTGATGTGTACCTTCGCGCCAAAACAGTCTTGAATGGCGAAAATTACAAAGGATGTTTACCTCTCAACCATCGTCGGTGACCCTGACGAAGATGCTGAGAACAAACTCGAAGCTAAAAGATGCAAACGAAGACGGAGAGGATGACCCCCGAGTCGTCTTCCCTGCAATTAAATCCGATGATGACTTAATCCTACGCGAAATTCGTCGCCGGAAGAAATTGGCCGCTTTGGATGCTGCTAGTGGTCGACCGGCCGAACCAGAGGATAGGTTGGGTAATAAAAAATTGATTACATCGAAGATGGAATTCTTAGAGCCTGAGGAACACATCTCGGATAAAATTCTATTCATCATCAACAACTTGGCCTTCAACAATCTCGAAACCAAGTTAACGGAGATGTCGAGTCAAATCAAGCCAGAACACTACAACTGGTTTGCGAAGTACCTCGTCAATCACCGAGTCTCGATCGAACCCAACAATCACTCTCTTTACCTTCAATTTCTAGACAAGCTTGCACTCCCTCATATGTATAAAAAAATTAATAATGAAACTTTAATTAAGTGTGTAATAATGCTCAATTCGGAACAAACGCTCAAGTCAGGAACGGATCGGACGATTTTGAAAAACTTGGCATCTTGGCTCGGCTCACTGACGTTAGCGAAGAACTTGCCGATCAAGCATCACAACATTGCCTTCAAGGACCTCTTACTTCAAGGTTTTCGATCTAACCGGTTGATCGTGGCCATCCCATTTGTGTGTAAGGTACTCGAGCAGTCAAGCAAATCGAAAGTCTTTAGGCCACCGAATCCATGGCTGATGGGTATCCTCAAGCTACTCATTGAACTTTATCATTATGGAGAACTAAAGTTGAACCTGAAGTTCGAGATTGAAGTCCTCTGCAAGGCTTTGGAGGTGGAGTTGAAGGATGTGAAGCCGACGGAGATGTTGAAGAAACAGGAAGAACTTAGCCAACAACGCCAAGAGGTTGAAGAGGTGAAAGCGGCAGCCCGATCGCTCGCGGCTGCACAACAGCAAGCCGAGCAACAGCACAGTCATCTATCGATCGAAAACGTTATCGGAAGGGCTACGGGTACTCTGAATCCGAACAGCGTCCCCTCCGCCGGTACCTCGATCACTGCCACACAACCCTTAGAGAATGCGGGCCCCAACAATCTCCCAGCTGGCTCTCACAGTCTATCCCTCAACGGACAAGCTGGTTATGCCAGCAGCCTTCAAGGTAAAGTCTTTCTTTGATATTCCTGACCGCCTTCTTTTTTTCTTTTGTAGCTGTAGCTTATCATTTTCTTTTTTTTTCTAGATCTGTTGAAGCAGGCGTTGCTCGAGTTACCTCTATTGATGACGTTTTCAACTGAGGTTGTCTTGAATAATAACATTCTTTGGAAGCGAGTGGTGTTTACTTCAATCGAGAGAGCCATTCGAGATGTAAGCAGTCAATTTAATATGCTGATCTCCATTTGAGCTCATTTTGTTTTTTGTCGGTCAACTCAACAATAGATCATCGGTCCAGTAGTCGAACGATCAGTGACGATTGCAAATATTTCGACTCGAGAGATGATCTTGAAAGATTTTGCCATGGAAGGCAAAGAAGACCAGATGCGAACCTCCGCCCATATGATGGTTAAAAACTTGGCAGGATCTCTAGCGTTGGTCACCACGAAAGAACCTCTACGTAACCAAATCCTGGTCAACATTCGCTCCCTGTCAATTCAGAATGGATTTCCAGAAGTCCGTACTCTCGCTTCGGGTTATAATTTGAGGATATGTCCATGACTGATCTCGCTTCATTTCAATCTCCTTACCCCCCATAGCATAATGTGTCAGACGAAGAGATTCAACAGGTTACCGCTGACAATCTGGACGTCGCCTGTCAGGTGATCGAAAAGGTCGCCACTGATAAGGCCATCCTCGAGATCGACAACAGTCTAGCATCTGCTTATGAAGCCCGTCGAAGACATCGTGAAGTGAGTGATCTTGCATATCTCAAGTTGATCGACACTCAAGCTGATGTGTAGAGTTTTTATGATCCAATTAGCATACCAACAGTGCATTTTGGGATACCTCTGCCATGGCCGCTTCGCATTACTCCGGAATGTTACCTAACCCTCTCAAGTTGAAGCTGGGTGGTCTCGAGCCAGAGCAGTTGAGAATATACGAAGAATTTTCAAATGTTCGAGATGACAGCAATCCTTCCAACGCTATGGCTGTGCAACAGCAACAGCACTCATGGCAATCACAGCAGCAACAACAACAACAACAACAACAGCAGCAGCAGCAACAACAGCAACACCAGCAGCTACAGCTACAGCACCAACAACAGCAGCAGCAGCAGCATCTGCAACAACAACTTCAACCGCAAGGCCCCGTCCCAGGTCAGTATCACTGAAGCGTTTTGCATGTACACTATTTGAAGTTGAAGCCTTGTGCGAGTGATTTTTGAATTTCAGGTCTTGATGCGGCTCGTTCCCCTGCTCTGGCTGAGAGTACTCCTAATTTACTTGTCGGTCCAACTGAAAACGCGAATCGCCCACTTAATTCACTTTCAGAGGCTTTGACTCGTATCAATGTGCGTTGATTTTACTCGTACAATTAACATCAACTCATTTCCTGACGTGGCGTTTGCATTTTGTTTGTTTTCTTTAAAGTCATTGGCAGGTGAGATCGAGAGACTGGTTCTGACGGTTACAGTCGAAAGCTTAGCTGAGATTGGCGAGAATCACGAGATCCGTGGCTTGATCACTGAGATCCTGAAGATGCTTCGTCAAGCCAATCCGACGCTCAAAGACCAGTTGACGTTATCGTTTGCTCAGAAATCAGTCGCGATGCTCTATCGATCTGAATCCAAATTGGGCCGGGATCTGTTTGTGAACCTCTTGGAGGAGATCTGTGAGATGACACCGAAAGTCGCTCACGAAGTTAGTCAATGGTTAATCTACGCCGAAGATGAGGTGAGTCGTCTATCGACTGTATCCGGGCATCATTAAAAATGTGTACAAGTCTTACTGACTATCCGTCATCAGCGCAAATACAATGTGCCCGTGACATTGGTGTTAATCACCCATCAAATCGTGTCCCTTGGGGATTTCGACGCCCAATCCGCCAAGTTGATCCTCCGGGACTACAAACCAAGTCTGATGAACTACGTGGCCGAGTTCATTGAGGCTTGTGTTATGGGATCAGAGTCTTCGTTGATACCTATTGGACTTTTGAAACATTCCATTCAAGCCCTCCAACGAGCGATTCAAATCGGTCGTGCAACACCAAAGTGAGCTCTCTTTCTTTTGTGCTACATTTATAGATCTACCTTACTAAGATTTTCTCCGCGGCCGCTCCGAAGGGTGACCTCTATCATGCAAAACATTCAGGATAAGCTTCCCGCTCTCGGCAGTGCTAAGGATTTGGGACCTGTGACCATCAAATCGATCAACGACGAGGCTGGCCTACGGGAGCAACTTAGTTTCTGCTTTGCTGAATGGGTTCGGATGTACTCGAGCTCGTACTCAGTCGAGAAGCCATTTATCGAGTTCATCAGCTCGCTCCAAGCACATGGGATCCTAAAGGGCGAAGAAGTCTCGTCCCTGTTCTTCCGGGTGTGTATGGAAGTCAGCATTGATGCTTACATCAAAGCAAAGGCGTCCGGCAGTACAGCCGCCCGAGGGATCTTCCAGCCTGTAGATGCCTTTGCGAGATTGATCTCCTTGATGATCAAGTACCATACCGACCCCACTGGAATCGACATCGAGCGAGCAAAAACACATTACATGTCCAAGTTGCTGTCGATCGTGTTGATGGTCATGGGTCAGTTTCACAAGGAACTTGGCGAGCATTTCCAACAAAAGCCTTTCTTCCGGTTCTTCTCTGGGCTGTTGGTCCACATCAATGCGCTGGAAACTCATTTGGGAAGCTGCTATCAATCCGTCATGATGACCTTGAGGTGAGTGATCGATTTTTTTTTTCTGGGATACATGTCTGTATAATACTCACTCATTCATCGATCCCTAGCAACCTCATCGAGTCTATGCAACCTTCCAACTTTCCAGGCTTCACTACATCATGGATGGCCTTAATCAGCCATCGGCTATTGATGCCCAAGCTTCTGATGTTCAAGGATCGGGAAGGATGGTCAACTGTACACCGGCTGTTACTTGGCCATCTGCGATTCCTTCGTCCATTCCTTGCCTCGGGCACGCTTGATGATGTCGGCCGGACGCTTTACACCGGCACCGTCCGAATCTTCCTGGTCCTTTTGCATGACTTCCCTACCTTCCTCTCTGTATATCATCACTCCCTCTGCTCAGCACTACCACCCCACTGCATTCAGCTCTCTAATCTGATCTTGGCAGCCTTCCCACTCGGAGTCCGACTCCATGATCCGTTCGTCCCTGGCTTCAACCTCGAGAGCTTGCCCGATTCGCGAATCAGTCCGACCATCATCTCCGACTTCACCCATGTTCTCGAGCAAGCCGACCTTCGTCAATTAGTCGATAAGGCCACCTCCGCTGCATCCCCGCAGATCGCCGTCGGGCCCATCAAGGATCGACTGACTCATCCCACTAAAGCTACCGAGGGCACTGTCTACGATATCCCCCTCCTCAACAGCCTCGTCCTCTACCTCGGTGTCCAGGCTATTCTCCGAGTTGAACGCGAATCTGTTCCGTTGTACGATTCCAGCTGTACTTCGGCAACCATCTACAAACAATTAGTCAACGAGATTGATCCCGAAGGTTTTTTTTTTAGCTATGATGATTGGACCTATACAATACAAGATGTTGTTACTAACTACTCCTCTCTCCTCCAACAATCGTAATAGGTCGATACTTACTTCTTGTAGCCGCCATCCAGCAGCTGCGGTGGACAAACAGCCATACCCTCTGGTTTTCATCGCTCCTCATTGACACCTTTATGAGCTCGGATTCGGAGGTGGTGAAGGAACAAGTGGCGCGGGTGTTTTTGGAACGCTTGCTCGTTCAACGACCCCATCCGTTTGGGATGATCTATGCATTCATCAAATTCTTGAGTCAATGTGGTACGACTACAACCGCTAATACTAATAGTAATCTTAATCATGGGAATCATCATATTGGGAATGGGAATGGGAATGGGAATACTTTGGCGATGGAGAAGGCTGGCGACGCGGAAGGCTTAGGCTCGTCCTTGGAATCCCTCAAGGTCGTCAAAAAGTCGCAGGAATTGATGGCCTTGTTCGCGATCTGTAGAAAACATGTGGTTCAGATTAACTAAACCAACCTACTCAAAAACAAACCAAACCAAACAATATCTTAATTACTCCTTCCTTGTCGTAGCTCAATATATATATATAATTTTATAAACATTATATCTTTGATCAAATTTCCATTTATTCCTTTATATACTACAATAAAAAACTGAAGAAGAAAAAAATAGCACACAAAAAAAGAGGAAGAGGAAGAATAATTATATGAAATAGTATGCATGTTCTTTAGGGTTTTGATTTTAGTTTATCTTGTTTCATTTTTTCATTTTAGGGTATTTTTTGATTTCAATTTCCATTTTTTTTTTACAAATATAACCTTTCTTTTTTGAGAATACATATGTGAGAGACTTACTTTTTTCTTTTGTTTTGTTTTGGTATATCCACCAAGAAAAAAATAAACATATACAGTAGTAGTATTTTTTTTTCTTTTCTTCGAATCTTATTTCACATTTTTTGATCTTCTTTTAGTTCAAGTTTCTATGTTCCATAATATAAAGATATAAAGATATATATATATATAACTGTTTTTCCTTGTTCCAGATTGTTTGTCTCTTATGGTTCTTTATCATAATCCTAGGTTGTTACATTTTACTTACTTACTTACTTTGCTAAATCTCTCCTCTGTTTTTTTGTTTTTGTTTTCTTTGCCAATATATAAAAGATAAATATATAACATATCTTATGTTTTCATAATTTGATGGATTTTATTGAGGGTGGGTGTGGGTTGGAAAATTGACTGCCAAATGTTGGGAGAGAGGTTGTGCAGGACCACATGAAGAGTAATAGTAGGACTCCAAAGTTGAAAGCACATGACTTGCACTCAGCATGCATACCTTTATGTGCAAAGCAACTTGCCAAAATCCATGCAAGTCACTTGGATTCAACTTTGAAACCTAATAACTTGCTTAGAGAAAGGCAAGAGCTCTTGCCACACAGGTTAATAACTCATGCAAATTACAAGTCCTCTTCCCCTGTCAAGAAGGTCGGGGGTCATCCCCACAACTCCCAAGCCAGCGGACAATGTTAGTCTGCCAACTCCCACAATTCAAACTGTTTTTTTTGCGCCTCCTAGCCTGTACACTTGGCTGTACAACTTCTGATTCTGCTGCCAAGGCATCACTTGGGCTGAGGCCACCTGGTGACTAGTGGGGGAGGGCTGGCAGAGCCTTTAGGTGATGAACACTTCCTACTCAAAAAATTGATAGGATTCAAATGGGCCGGCCCAACTGCAAAGCTTTGGGAGTGAGCTTGTATTGCCTTAATTACTGTGGCCATACAGGGCTACATACAGAACCAAGCAGTGCAAAAACAAAATCTGAAATATAGCTGATCCCAAAACCACAGGCTTTTTGGGATCAGCTGTATGACAACTCCCATTCCCTTTGGGGGAGTTAGTAGAACAACTACCAGAGTAGTCCCAGGACTGCTGAGAGACAGTCCTCTTGAAATCCCAGGACATTCGGATTCTTGGAAGTTTTTGCCTAATAAAAAGGAGTTTTTTTTTTCAAACCCCTTTATTTATTATAAGATATACATATCACAACAGGAAAAGAAAAAGAAACAAAAATAGGACTTAGACATCATTTGGGAAGTGCATCAGTACTTCAAGAGGTTCTGTGATGTGATGCAATGAATCAGATATGTAAGCCTAGATTATATGAGCATCAGTATTACCAGGTAATGGTTGGGGAATTTCATGAGGCTGGAATTGGTTACATTCATATGGTATTCCTGCCTTGTGATGTTGAAAAAACATACAGGTGCCCGGGGTGGGTTGGTCAGTTTATAGAGTTTCTGTTGGAATTCTCCCAGCGCACCATCAGTGCGCTCCCCACTCTCCTTTCTCGCTCTTTTCTCTCTCTCTCTGTTTCATCCCTTCTCTTCTCTTTTCTTCTTCTCAACCCTTCTCAAATACATCTCTCAACCTGTCAGACACTGAGGCTATAGCCCATGTGTCTACAATGTGAATATATAAGTACAAACAGGCTAGTGTAGTGGTTAAGAACTGTCTTAAGACAATTCTTACCAACACCCTGTGTTCAATCCCCCTCAACACTCTATTGTATTTTTATTCATTCCTTTTTTATATTTTTTTCTCCTAAGTAATTCCGTGGAATAACTTAGTATTTTCCTCTGTATTAATATTCCTTTATTACAGAGATGCTAACTTATGTACATAAAGTTTATTCTTCTTTCTCTATAAGTATATTCTGTAATTAGAGAGATTACTACACTTTGGGAATTGATTAATTTATTCCTCTCTGTATGGATTTCCCATAGAGAGAAATGATGTCATTCCCTCCACTTTTGATGTAATCTTAATTTAAATACATGTTCTGATCATTTGTGATTTAAATACATAAAATGATCATCTGTGGACCTGTCCGGTCCAACAGGCAGTTTGAACCCTGCCTTGCAATACTTAAGGGGGAGGGCTTTCCCTCTAGGATTCTTCCCCCCAGAGATTATTGCCATACAAACCTGTTATCCTTACTTAAATTAAGTGAGTGGGGTTTTTTATAATCTATTACAATTTATTACATCCCTACATCTACCCTTTATCATCTCCCTCCATTCCTAGACTACAGTAAAGTCACTACTGTAGCCTAGAAGAGAGTTGTACATCCTCTAAGCTCGGCACCGCGAAGCTCATTCCGCGTGTGTCCCCTCTAACCCAGGGAGCTAACCCCTCCGCTTCCTAGCGTCGAGGTGCGGTTCTCTTCCATTGGCTGCCCTTGCAGTTATAGTGAGACCATTAAACCCCATCAACGCTCGGTCACGCAAGAGACCGGCGCTGACACAACCCGTCCCCACAACGTCAACTTCCATCTAACCTAATCAATCTCAACCACAAGTTAAATGGACGACTCAAACTCATACTCAGACTATAAATACCAACCCTCTTTCCCACTCGACATCCACTCCTCAGCAGACTTCACCATTGACTCTTTGTCAAATCTATCCGGACTCAAATTCCAACTACCTCTGCCCCTTCTGCTCGGCCTTCTCCTTGCCTTCCTTCAAAAATACCTCAACATTCCCGTTCCCTACTTCCCCTTCCGTATCCAACTCTTTTTCTCTGCCATTCTCTACTTCCTTTCTCTTTTCTCTCTTATCGTTCGATCTCATTGGCAACATTGACACATTGACCTTCATCCAAATCACATCAATTCCTTGTTGATCTCGCCGACTCTTTCAATCGACCTTCTCTCCTGGCTCTTGCCAATTTGGTGAGAAAAGCATATGACTTTTCTTCTCTTTCTGACTCACACCTTTTTTTTTCTTCAATCAACTAATTAATTTCTTTATCTTAAATTGTTCTTTTGTTCATGAATCAGCGGGTACTACTTTTCATTGTTTGATCTTCTATATCTCAGCCTGTCTGTCTTGTTACCTACTAAAGTGAATTCTCATCGTGGTAAGACAGGTTCTTTCTCTCAAAATTAAAGCTTTTGTCATCCTTCTTAGTCTAACTTGTTTTTATTTCATCTTTAAGTTTTGGTTCTAGTCACAATTATAAAACCTGTTTTTCATCAGTTTCTTGACTGGTCTTTTTAAGCCATTATCCCAAAAAATGGGGTTCAGGGTTTTACCATGGTCCTGACCCCCTGTGTTCAGGACTTGGGACAGCCTGAAAGGCCTCACAAAAACTCCAAAGCCCCAGGGTTTTCAGGTATGGTGTTGAGAAGTAGTTTAATGTTTTTTTTTCTTGCTCAGGCTGTTAAGATGCTTATATTTTAGTCTTAGCTCATACCAATCCATCTTGGAATCCTCACTGAATTAAAACTCCATTTACATTTTTGTGTCCAGTCCCTGTCACAAGACTTCACATTTGTGACTTCTGTTTCTCAGCCTAGTCCACCTCAACACAGACATGTATTGCAAGTGTTTTTTTTTGTGTATGTGTATTATTTAGAAGCAGAAATATAAAAGAAAACAATATCAATTCATAATTTTATAAAGGGCCATCAAAATTCTGGAACCAATCCTTCAAGCACAGCAAGTTTTTGTTAGAGTTACAGCATAATCAAGATTAGAAACACAGTTTATTACATTTTTTAGTGCATAAACCATACTAGTCCTCAACCTCAACCTAGATAGCTGTGACATACTCTTGTACTTACTCTAAATCCTGTTCCCGCTGGCACTGGTTCCACTTCTCTCCTCACTGAGTTGTGGAACCAATACCAAGTGTGTGCAGAAGCTTACCATGGTGTGTTCCTTATCATACAGTTCTCAACTGTTGTTGGCTTGAGGGATGATTTCTGCCATGAGACAAACTGTCAGCAAGTGTAACAAGCTCTTATGCCTCACTAGTGGCTGGGATTGAGAGATCTGCCACATGTCCATATGGCTGGTAAAAGAGAGGAAAAAGTAAGGGCTTTGGGGTAAAACCTTGAAGCCCTGGGGTTTTTTCCTTGGGACAAACCTCCACCCTCATCCCAAACCCCAGGATAATGCCTCAGGCCTTTTGTTACAGTTGCATATGGCATAAACTAACCCCACCCCAAATGCAACATATAAAATCAACGGGAAGGCCCTCCGCCCAGGGGGCTATATACACCAATACTGATTTTTATTACAATTCTGAACTTGAATGAGAGATTTTTCTAATCTGTGTGCATCCAAATTCACAGATGAATGCACTAATATCAATCCATTCTGCTTCTGCTTATGCAGCATACATATACCAAGACATAGTGAGCCTGGCAAGCAATTGGTTTTTTTTTGGCATAATTTTGAATTCAGAATTGTTCCTTTCAGGCAATTTGGATACTTGGTATCCCCTTTCACAACAGCCCAGGTGGGTTACATCAACGGTGCCACAGATACGAGACATGTATTTGTATCGGATCGTATCGTATTTATTTTGAGCCTGATACCGGTATCAGTATTTCCTTGGTTGGTGAAAAAATACATTGTATCGGATTTGGATTTAAAAATGAAAAAAAAAAAATCGTTTTCGTTTTTTTTCGTTTTTTCTTCAATACAGCCAAGTATCTTATGTATCAAATACGGTTTTGGTGGGATCAGTCATCTGAGACGATACAGAATACATTTCTCACTTTTCAAATACGATACATGTATATGTCTCAGGAAAGTGAGACAACACAAATCCGGTATCTTTGGGTATTCCAATTCTGAGACGATACAGATAAACGCCTGATACTGTATCGTATCGTCTCTGTGGCACCGTTGGTTACATCCAGTCCAACTGGGGGCTGGTCTGACTCCTTTCCACCAAATGGCTGGACCAGTACCATCTGACAATCTACCGAGCTTCCAGATATGTATATCATTGCATCAGCATACATCCAACTTTGATTCTGGATGCACACAGATTGGCAAATCCAGTGCAATTTGTCATTGGAAAATCCACCCAGATGTGACAAGAGTTCTGAGAATGGCTGTAATTCTAACTTAACTAATTCCCTTCCCTTCCTGGTTGGAGGGGTAAACCACTTATTGCCTAACTTATCACAAGTCCCTTGCCTGCAGTCAGTTTTTCTGTGTGAAAAGGGAGGTACAGTGCCTAGACAGTGAAAAGTGGCTGCCTATTTTGGATTCCAGAGCTCCAGAGCACAAATTTGAAATCATGAGACTTGGTCAGGTGGTGCATAATAGGTCCCAAAAAATGAATATGAAATAATAAAAGCAGAAAATAAAGTTTGAAAATTTGTGAAAAATAAAAAATAAACTTGATTTTTTACAAAAGCTTAGATATTCATTTTTGTGGAGTGGGAGTGCTGAGAGAAAGAAAGACTGTGACCTGAGAAGAAAATTATGAAGAAATTTTTGGAAACACTGGTTTTTGGATGGCTTCAAACAGCTGTTGAGTGGGGCATTCACCAGCCCACATTGCAGCAAAGCACTAGAATTTACTGTTTTGGCTCCAATTTGGACCACCAACCTGGCCAAACCTTTTTTGGTTACAATTTTTTTCATTTATAATCATTCTTCCCACGTTCCATTCTTTCTTTCTCTCAGCACTCCCACTCCCCCAAAATGAATATTAAAGCTTTTGAAAAAAAATTGAGTTTATTTTTATTTTTCACAAATTTTCAAACTTTATTTTTTGCTTTTATTATTTCACATTCATTTTTTGGGAGCTATTATGCACCACCTGACCAAGTCTTATGACTTCAAGTTTGTATTTCAGAGCTCTGGAATCCAAAATAAGCAGCCACTTTTCACCTGTCTACCCACTGTACTTGTGTATTATGTTGAAATTTTGGCTGGGACAGGAAACATGAATGGCTGGAGGGAATTTTGTTAAGCTTCTCACTGGAGGACTTCCCGTCGGATCTGGGAGCCTTGCAGTTTCCGATTTAGACCCAAAAAGTCTAGATTTTTGCAGGGAAATCTAGCTTTTTCGGCTCTAAATCGAAACTGGGAGCCCCGCAGATGTTGACGGGAAGTCATCCACTCCTTATCCCAATCATCCACAACCGTGCCCCAAAGCCAGATGAACATTTTGTGGGGGAGCTTTCAATTGGAGGTGTTCTCATCCACACATTTGTAATGGCTCTCCCTCCACATTCTTTTTTGAAAATAAGGACAAATCATTCTCCTTCAAAACTCAAAACACAGATCCACCAAGATTGGCAAGGCAATCTGCCAAAGATTTTCCAGCCTGCCGCCACCTTGCAGATTCAACAAGCAAGATTTTGACTACAAGTCACACTCTCAGCACCCTTGACAAATGAGAGTCTCAACAAATTTAGATTCTAGAAAATGGATTTTTGGACTTGGCAAATCTTTGGAAACTCTCACAGAGGAATCTTCTGTTGAGGGGTGTTGTGACTCGGCTGCGGCTCAGCCAGCCGGAGGAGACTACATCCGTCTCCTCCGGGCCACACCTAGAGGAATCCATACAGTTTTACCCCTCTGAGTCACTACAGGTTATGAGCCTGCGATACCAGCTACGCTGAAGAATCTCGACCCGACGAACCATACCGGATTACATCTTTTTGAATCTCGCCGACGAACGATACCGGACTTAACTTTCATCTCGCCGACGGAGGAATACCGGCCTTTTCACTTTCAAATCTTACAAAAATACCCGACGAACGATACCGGACTTCACTTTGTCTATACCGTTTTTTTTACAATCTTTTGCTTGGATGGATCCTCCCTACGGTGCTTATAATCGAATTCGGCTGTTCCTCGCAGACCTGAATCTTGTTCTTGGTTGCTTACCGGCCCCAACACCCTACAGACCTGTGGCTCTCAACTCGTTCGTGTCGCCGCAAAACCCGCATCGGTCTAGCTTAGATTTCCATTCACATCTGTCAGGGAAACAGCCGACCCATCGCTCGCAAGCATGGAAGAATACTCACTCAAGACTTGGTCGCAAACAGACAAGAAAAGCTGGAACCGCTTCAAAATCATATCCTGTTGACTTTCCTTCGATTCAACGGTCGGCACATGTCTATAGTCGTCACAAGCATCAGGGGCCCCAAGAATCCTCTCAGCGATCCTGTCAAAGTTTTTCAACTAATTGGCATCAGCCTTCCAAATCCTGTCGCAAACACAATGTGCAGTATGTTGAGCCCCCCTACAAACAAGATCCTCAATCGGTGGAAGACTTGCAGGGTGAACCTTATACTACTGAGTGTTTAGATCAAGAAGAACCCTCAGCTACCGATTACCCAAACGATTCAGCAGAAGATCACTCATCATTGAAGTTTCAACCACCCTGTGGCGAGATGTTTGAAGACGAGCAGATCAATTTTCGGTCCGATAAATCAATAGGTGACACACATGAACTAGACGAAAACAAATGGGTCGACCGGTCTGATCTAGACATCAATGCGGATCCAGATTACTTAGAACAACAACCCGAGCCAGCTTTTGACTTAAAAAACTATAGCGCTGAAGATGTCGACAACTGGGCCAGCACCCTGTCAGCAGAAGAATTTGAGCACCTTCGCATCATGGGACCCAATGCTAGAACTGAATCTTTCCGACAGTATGCTATCTCTAATCTTGATCGACCGACTCAGACGCTTAGCTCATCAACTCATGAACACCTTGACCAACCAGTTCTTCCATCTATTGGCGACAAAGACAACAGTGATTACCACCACCACCAGCCTGATGACATCGGCAGCAACAATTTTGACCAACAGCAGCTTGCAACTCCAGATGATGAGTCAAGATCTATGTTCTACAATCACTCGGACGACTGCAACTCTCATCTAGAGGCTTTTGATGACAATGGTTTTGATGAAGGATTTGTCGATGGCAGTTTTGATGACGGCAGAGTTGACAATGGCGGTTTTGATGATGGTGGATTTGACGATGGCAGCTTTGACGATGGTAGCTTTGACGATGGCGGCTTTGACGATGGCGGCTTTGATGGTGGTCTTGATGATGGCTATGGTTCCCCTTATTATTAGCCTGTTTTACATTACAACCCTCTTTCCTGCTTATCAAAATTTGATTTTTTTATCTTCAGCCTATTCATCATTTCTACCATTTTCTTTTATTTTTATTATTTTTTTATCTTTCAGCCTCCTCAACCTTTCCCCACCAATTTTTCTTCAATGTTGAGCTTATTTTGATTATTTTTTTTCTAACTTTCTCCATTTCTTCTATTTTTTTCTCAGCTTGTATGTAGTTAGGACCTCCCCGGCAGGTGTCTTGGAGCCTTGCCGAGGGGGTGGGTGTTGTGACCTAGGTCACATGGTGTGACTCGGCTGCGGCTCAGCCAGCCGGAGGAGACTACATCCGTCTCCTCCGGGCCACACCTAGAGGAATCCATACAGTTTTACCCCTCTGAGTCACTACAAGGGGCACAGGGTCGCAGGGACTGAATGTCACAGACTATGTCTTGTGACTAGGGAGCTGACACTAAGAACTAATGTGGTTTGTATTCAATGCAGAAAGAGCTCCTGAGTCTGATATCAGGAGGACTAAATACAAAGCCAAAATGCATAACTGTAATGGAAGCATACTATACTGGATATGCATATCCACAAATCCAACACACCCCCTTGCTGACAACTACAGTTATTCTAAAATAAATGAGATAAAAAAATTGACCACTAAAAGTAGGTAGGATTAGTGGAATAAAAAAAATCTCAGCTGGGGACAGAAAGGAAATTTGAATCAGGCCAGAGATCCAGAGGTAGTAAGGGACAGGGAAACACCACGACAGTGAATAAGTATCCAAAAATCAAACGCATTCAAAGAATTGGCCATCGACTAGCACCGGAGTTGTGTTCGTCACGAATAGAATGTTTTGTCTGGGGTTCATCCTTCCTAGCCCCACACGACGTCGCAGCCATCGTCATCGTAGCTGTCGTCGTCATTTTCTTCATCTTCCGAGTAGTTACCAAGAGTTGCATAGGAAACCGCCCCAGCACGAGCTTCAGTCGAGGACGCTTGGGCGGTGGGTTTCTTTTTGAGAGAGGGGTTCGAGCATTTTGACGAGTGGTGACCCTTCTGACCACAATTCCAGCAGCCCAGCTTGGGTTTAGCCTTCGTCGCAGCGGCCGAGGCATCGAAATGATCGGTCGAAACTTGAGTTGACACCTCATGCGATTCCAGAGCGCCAATTGCATCGTCTAGAGAGACCTCGTTAGGCGAGTAGACAAGGTGGTCTCGAATTGGCTTCCAGGAATCGTCGAGACCCCGAAGTAGTCTGTCACAGACTTGCTGATCATTTGGAGTCAGTTTAACGCTCGTGAGATCAGATGCTGCGTTCCGTATCCGAGCAATCCATTTGGCGATAGGAACGTTGGGGTCGTGTTTAGCCGACCAAAACGCATCTTCAAGCATTAATCGTCGAGCACGCGTGTTCTTTTCGTATGCCTCACAGATCTGGTTGTACAGTTTGCTCGCCGGTTTAATGTCGCGGTACCGTATAGACAGATCGACAGATAGTGTAAGCTTGATCGTCGATCGAGCAATATCCGATAGAGTGTCCCAATCGGTGCGGAACTCTTCTGGGTTGTAACCTTTCTCGGTGCGGACTGTGGGTTTAGCATCCACCGGCTCGGCCTTCGGTCGAGGAACCTTCCCTTGAACTATGTCTAACACCCCCTGGATGGCAAGCACATCTTCAAGCCGCGCACGCCACGCCGGAAAAACGACCGAGTTTCCGTCTAGTTGGGGAACCGAGGGGATAAGCGGCGAGGGGTTTTGAGTTAGTCTGTAGGGCATGATGATCGAAGCAAGTTGTTTGGCGAGTGGAGATGGTTGATTGACTGGAAAGGAAGTTGGAGCTAGAGCGACATGGGATCATAACCTGTTGAGGGGCACAGGGTCGCAGGGACTGAATGTCACAGACTATGTCTTGTGACTAGGGAGCTGACACTAAGAACTAATGTGGTTTGTATTCAATGCAGAAAGAGCTCCTGAGTCTGATATCAGGAGGACTAAATACAAAGCCAAAATGCATAACTGTAATGGAAGCATACTATACTGGATATGCATATCCACAAATCCAACATCTTCAAGCTAAGCTAAGTTTGATTATTATTGATTCCCACATCCCTTCAAATTTATTCTTGATCAGTCATTTTGGGTTGTTGCCCTTCAAAATTTTGCCCAGTTTTGCTTTTCAAGACAGCGCAGAAAACTGTCTGTTCAGGTTTTCTTCAAATTGGGTGGGCCATTTTTAAAAAAAAATCATTTTGTGGATTTAGGCTTGAAAAACCTTCCTGTCCCAGCCAAATCACTTGAAACATAACTTCATATCCCGCACTGGATGTGCAGTAAAATAAACCTGGATATGTAGTATTTTTATATATTTTTTTGTTCACCTCTTCACACCATTTTTTTTTTTTAAAAAAAACACTGAATATCCAGTTTTATTTACTCCATATCCAGTACTGGATATGAGGTAGTGTTGAAAGTGAATGTTCGACTTGAATTCTTAATTCATGAGCCTCTCCTGCGGAAAACGTCCCGCGGGGACACCCTGGGGCCTGGGAGAGGCTTGGTTAACTGAGGAGAGCGTCCTGCGGGGAAACCCGGGAGAGGCTTGGATAAGCTAGACTTGTCGCATTGCACGGACCGGCCTCCTTCGGCTGCGGGACAGTGTCCCTCCAATCAGAGGGACTTGGTTAGGTTAGTAATTAATTACACCCCCTTGACCCTTCCATAAATATTAAATTCTGGTGGCGTTGATGAAGATGTGGTTGTCACTGTCCGGCCTTCAGGCTTCAGGCTCAGCCCTATGACGTATTGGACGGAAGAGCCGGCTGGCCGGGCCACTCAACAACAATACTCCATCATCCACTGGGTGACTCTTCTTGAAACTTGTTTGATCTCCACGCCCGTTCGCTCGTGGATTTCTTGCAGGCACGGGAGCTATCGGACAACAGCAGAGCAGGTTTTGTACACAGCCAGCGGCACTCTTCCTTCTGCATATGTACTAATTAACACTGCGTGTCTTGGTAATCTGAACCTCCGACACGGTGAGCCGCCACGTCTCCTAGAGACCCTGCCTTCTCTTAGGATGGTTATTGGTTCGCAGAGCGTTTTGGACTACTGGAGTCTTCATTCATCAGCCATCTTCTCATGTGGCTCACGAACTTACGGACGGTTGGACACCTGCCTCCTTCCGAGGTGTGATCACAATTGTAAATAAAAGCAGGCCGCTTCAGACATTGGTCTGAGATTCTTCTATATCAGATCCATAACGCGTGTCCGTTGGGTTGCTCAAGTTTGCTCGTGAATAGACGCCCCCCAGCAAGACATCCCCTATAGTCCGACGTCAAGACCCAAATCTTGACTTATTTGTACAAATTTGTAAATAAAACCAGATTCTTGAATCTTCAGGCCTATCGTCAGCTCACTATCATTAATTAATACCTTCTCCACTCTCAGTCCTATAACTGCAATGTTCTTCACTACTAGAGTCAGTTGCGCTTGTCTGGTCTCAGTCCTGATTGCTCTGATCCATCGACCCGGGATCCAACTTTCAGAGGCCCGGCCGACCAGCGTTGTCCGGAGACAGGCCATCCAACCACCTAATCCTGCCGCACCTCCACCTGAGCATTCGAACCTGCTGGGCGCAGATCCCACTGGCGGCGGCAATCTAACTCCACCACCTGGCAAAACCACGACCAGTGCTCAGTCCGGTCCCAAACCACCCAATCCTGTCAGCCCTCCTCCACTAGACACATCGACAACTACGAAGCTGTTGAACATAAATGCCACCAGCTTCGCCAATCAGACTCCACCGCCTGGCAAGACCACTACTACCAGTACTCTACCCGGCACCAGCAATCCGACATCCTCTGGCGCTGGTGGTGGTGCTGGGACAGGGGTTCCAACAACCTATGGGATACCTCCTGGTGGCTCTGGAACCTCACTCTCACAGTCTCTCAGCAATTCGACAGATGTGAATCCCACCCCTTCCGGGTCCGGTGGCGGTGGAAGCGGAAGCGTGTATTCGTCTTCCACTGATTCTGGCAGCGGCTACGGGAGCCCAAGCAAGTCTGGAATCAGGGCTTCTACCTCACCGACAGATACCGGCACTAACACCGACAGCACAACTGCTCTAGATCAGACCCCGACGACCTCTGAGGACCATGAAGACTCGGAAGAATCGTCCGGTGTGCCCCGCACGAGCCAGAGTGGGAATGGCAACCCATCTCTAACTGACACTAGTGGTGGATATGGGTACCCACTCAGAGCTGGTAATCACACTGGACTTCCAAATTACTCTTTATCGATCTCCTTAACCTTCCCATCGACGTCCAGTGGCACCAGCAATGCCCCCAATTGGAATCCCATGACCTCAAACTCTAATCAAGAAGAATCGGGAGACACCCCTTCTCCTTCTCCATTTGGAACCGGTGCATCCCGAGGCACATCACTTTCTGACAACGGAAACGGGCTGAATGGGAATCCCAGCCCCTCTGGTAATGGCGGTGGATATGCGACGACAAGCACATCTGGTACCAATACCCCTGGAAGCGTGGATTATTCTTCATCTACGTCTGGTGGCCCTCAAAAGAGCACATCGTCGTACGGTTCCACGTATGCCGCTGATGGCGGAAAGAGCCTCAATGGGACTCCGAACACCTCCGAGACTAGCAGTGGATATCCGAACCCTAGCAAATCCAGTATCAGCACCTCATCTTCGCCGGCACCCGGCAGCTCCCAAGGTTCATCGATCGGCAGTGGAACCGGTCTGAATGCGAACCCGACGACCTCTCATGCCGATGAAGACGAGGAAGAAGAAGATGATGACTCTCCTCCATCCGACACCCGCGGCAGTGGAACTCACACCTCAACTCGCACTGACACCACCGGGACAATCGTGAATCCCAGTAGTTCTAGCAGTAACACCTATTCAACTTCTTCATCTCCATCTGTATCCGGCAATTCCCGAGGCACATCAACTAGCGGTGCTGGAAATGGTCTGAATGACATTCCGACAACCTCGGCTGTCGATGAAGGATACAGGACCCAATCCGAGACTAGTTCCTCAACTCCAAAGATTGGTAATAGTGGCCTCCAGAGCGTCCAAACCAGCGCCAACTCCCTCGGCCCATCTAAGACAACCCCTGGCACCACGACGACCACCACCGGCGGCTCGGAAAGACCCCTCTCACTCACATCTACATCTGGGGGCTCCGCCTCTTCTCCTGTGCAATGAAGGAACGACCCCTGGAGAACTGGTCAGGAAAGTCAGCTGTAGATCTCACCAAGCCACACATCAGCAACAACAACACAACATGTCATCAGATTTTCCACGCTCACATATATAACTATCCCTTCTTTTCTACCGACATTGTCCCCCTTTTTTGTCTCCTTTTATTTTCTTGTTTCTCTTCACTTTTACTCCGTTGTTCTGTCTTTGTCCACTCACACCCATATCTTGTAGCACAATATCCAACTGCTTCGGTTTTCTTCTCTGCATTTACATAATAGACAATCGTTGAAGTATGTGCTGGTCAGGAATACATAGTCCTCGGATTTGGAGCAGCTCATTTTGGTTTTTTGTTCAAGAAAACTTGGCAGATTCTTGTTCATCAGTAAGCATTCTATGCATGTGTCACAAAATTTGAGACTTGAGTCTTGTGTTCCACCTTCACATGTGAATGATTTTAGAAAAACACATACCCTGAGGTGTATTATTTTCCTTTTGGCTTGGAATTGTTGCTCGGTTGCCTTCAACAACCAAGTACTCATGCAGCTTTTGAGTTTCTTCCGTCTGATTTTCAAGAAGACGGAAAGACTGGTGTAGATGGCACTGGTCATTATTCCCACATTTTCAAAAGGGAGACAGACACCTTAATTATGTCTCGACTAAAAGTTCACTTCACTTTCAAAATGTAAGAGGACAGTTCATTAAACACTAAAGTCTAATAATAAGAAGAAGAAGAAGAAGGAAACTCTACTTGTTAGGATCAATATGTTAATTTGTTTGGCTTTTTGTTTGCAAAATCAAAAAAAGGGCAAGTGAGGGTAAATGGAAGACCATAGGTTGAAAAAAAGGGATCAAGTAGAGGTTGGTATAATTAACTTATACTTATTTTTGATCTCCCAGAGGAATTCCTTTTCCATTGACATCACCATGTGGTGATTGACATAACTGTACTTTTTAATAAGCCAAGACTTCAAATTTATGGAACTGATTGTTTTGGGATTTCAGATCACCCTTGACTAAGATCTGATTCCAATCCAACTTAACTAATCTGTATCTGCTGAATGACAACTTTCTTATCAAACAATTGGTGCTGCCTAATATAAGCTCCAGACCAGTGCTGCAATCTAGTTTACTGGTATGACAAAAAAAATAAACTGAGAAAGCTCAATTGAGAACCCCTCTATTGGCTGTCCCAGGTGTTTTCTTTTTTTTATAAGGGAATTTCCAGCTGGGTTTAGAGTAGATTTTTCCCTCATTCCATCAATGATCTCTGCAATATAAAACACAAAAGGCTCCACTTGCTGTACACTGCTCATTAATCAACTTGAGGTTTAACAGTTGAAATTAACCAGCAGTGCTTTTTGCCGTTGGTATCTTCAATTTTCAAAGAGCACAAATCAGCTGGGCTGGCGGAGGTGGAGCCACAAGGCACTTGGGTTGGGAAAGTGGATGATTTCACATCAGTGCTGCAAGCCCCGGAGTCTCTTGGGCTAGCTTGGGCTGCAAACACCTATAATCGACACTTGAAGACTGAAGAGAGTTTTTTTATATCTCAAGTGTAGATTATCTACTGCAGGTTATCAGACATTCTTGAGCACTTTTGTTAGCAGGGTAGGACCGCTCTCCTGGTGGTTTTACATCCCAAACCAAGTAAAATTCACAAACCGAAAACCTCACCGTGTGGAAAGTGACTGGCAGCCCAAATTTTGCAAGTGTGCTCCTGCTAACTCTTAAACGTGACTACTACTAGGTGATAAAGAACATTGTGACTGTGACTGCAAGGTGTTTTTCTCGGAGACGCCCACTTGGCTCAACTTCATAGGTCGTCCATCCGAAGCTTGGAAGTTCATTCAAACTCTCAAACCGTCAACTAGACCAACTAGACCCCCCCCCCCCTTTATTTAGTGGCGTCAACATGACGATCACAGCCTTTACGGACATGTTTTGCATGTACGATTCGGAATCCCAGCTTTCAGCTCTTGTCCAAGCCTCAGGGTGATCTATGTATGTACAACGCCGAGCCTCAAGTCCACACTGCACCACATTCTAATTTAGAAGTCGAATATAGGCAACCATTGTGTTTCCTGGAGACCCCCCTGGATGGCTGCTGGTTCGTAGAGTGTTTTATGCTGCTGGATACAAGTCATCGCCGTTGAGCACCTTCTGCGGCCGGCGAGCAGTCTTGCACCCCGAGTTCATATGTGATCACAAAAAATGCAGAGAGTAGACCGTAACACAAACTTTCGCCTCAGTGTTTGCTTGTCTGCTGGGCTCATATCTTCCTCCTTAATACTGGCCCAGATCATTAACGTCTTATGAACTGTTATTTACTGCACATACACTGTACATCGACCGGATTCATCAATCTTACCTCTCATCCACTTACTATCATTAACTTACTTCCCGTTATCCATGTTCCTTGCAAAAGCCACTTGGAAAATATGCCTAGCTTCCGTATTGATCACTCTGTTCTATCGGCCCGCCATCTTCCTTTCGGAAGCCCGGCCAAACATGCTTACCCGGAGACAGGTCACCCAGCCGCCCAATCCTGGCAGTTCACTCGCACCTGGTAGCAACCTGCCAACGGCCTCTGGAACACCTGCGCCTGGCATTCTGGGAAGTGCGAATCCACTGAATTTAACTGGCGCTGGCGGTGGAAATCGAGCCTCAACACTTGGTACGACCAACATTAACACTCCCGATACCCCGTCCCCATTTCCGCCGGCGCCTGGCACTACTGGTGGATACGGGATCACAACTTATTCTGGTACAGCTACCACTGGATCGGGAACATCTCTTGGTGGCACTGGCACTGGGACTGAGACTTCATCTATACCAGCCACCGTCGGCAATGGAAATACGAATATACCTACAACTGATGATTCTGGCGGTTACGGGATCCCAACTACTTCTGGCGGTACAACTGTTGGAACGGGCACTTCTTATGGAATTGGGACCTCTCCTACACCCAGCACCGTCGGCGGCGGAAATGGGAATCTAGCCACAACCAATCCTACCTACGGGGTCCCAACTACATTTGGCTCCTCGAATAGTGAAACTGAGACCTTACCTTCATATGGTGGGACTAATTATAATACTTCACCAACGACCTATAATCCACCGATAACTTACAATTCACCGACACCCTACAATCCACCGACAACTGACAATCCACTGACCACTTACAATCCTCCGACAACTTACAATCCACCGACACCCTACAATCCACCGGCGACACCCTACAATCCACCGACAACTGATAATCCACCAACCTATAATCCACTGACAACAGCATATATTCCACCGACACCCTATACTCCATTGACCACATACACGCCACCGATACCCAGCACTGTTGGTGGTGGGACTGGAATGCAGACTTCACCGCAACCTGGCACTGGTGGTAGTGGAACTACTCCATTTCAAACTGGACTGAACAATAATTCACCCGCACCCGGCACTGTTGGTGGCGAGAATCCATCGACATCTGGTACCGTCCCAACTACATCTGGTACCGTGCCAACTACCTCTGGTACCGTGCCAACTACCTATGGTACCGTGCCAACTACATCTAGTACTCCTGCGACTAACTCAAGCACTCCAGCTCCTCCAACCAAATCTGGCTCCCCTCCGACCAAATCTGCTTCACCAGAAATTAAGCCCAAAGATAAAGGTGGAACTGAGACTAAGCCTAAAGATAAGGGCAAAACCAAGCCGAAGGCCGCGCCCCCCAAAAAACTGAAAGTGGCCGAAATTCAATCTGAACTAGTTAAATGTGGGTACAGCTACGGGGCTGGTAAAAATGATACCAATCAACCGTCCGGCACAGTCTGTGAGTTCCTGACCCTGCACACCATCTGATTTATTCCAGAGCTGATTTTTTATCCCGATTCCTAATTATCACCACAGCTTGTCGGAGTCCTGAGGGTTTGGGCTATTACTGTCCCGCTTCTAAATGCACCCAAGCAAATCCTAAAGACCAAAAACCTGCTCGTAAGTGATGCACCATTAAAATTCTATCCAGGCTGTCTCACAATTTCATTTAACGTCAAGCCCTACAAAGATTGTATTTTTCTGATGCCTTTTTTTTCTCAACTACTATGTAAATATGTAGCTGTTTCAGATTTTACCTTCAAAAATTGCGATCGGCTCGCGGAAGCGGACTTAGCTGGCAAAACACGCATACCCGAAATACACATATTCCAATTTTGGACTCGTCGGGATGGGGGACATTTAAGTATGTGACTGTTATAACATAAAATGGTTTATCAACTGAATCAAACCTCAAACTGATTCAAAATTACCTCAAAATTGCCTGTTCATGTAGCTGTTGTGGGTTATGAAGACGTCAAGACCAAGAAAAGGCATTTGTATGTATGCCATTGGACAACAACAACGGAACACAACTTTCTCAGACCATGTGAGCTTAACAGTTTACCTCCAATATGGCTCACAGTCTATTGAACCAAACATCTTTTGATAACTATCAGGGTGCGATGGTTGCGTTTCTATGGATAAGCCTGATGCACCAGATCCAAACCCAAACTAGTCTTGAATCGCCTTGGTTCCAAGTATAGACCGTCTGCTCTAACTTATTTAATGCCAAACACTCATCGCCATAGACTTTCAAATCATTCTGGCGCTTCTGTAAATACGAGGATACAATCGTTCCGGCCAGACAACAAACCGCTTAATCAATCATTTTCTTATGTATCAATTTCAGCCAATGGACTTTTTTTTTTAAAAAAAAAAGCAAGAGCTTTACGCGTTCTTACGTGTAGTAGTGAGATGCAAGGATAGCAATATTTCCACTGACCTGACTATGATTATCTGCCTTTCAACATTTCCTGTATCTTTCTTTCGTTTAAACAGACGCGTCAAAATATATGTATAGATATTCAGTACTTGTTCTTCCATGTTGCACATCCTTGCTCACTCCCATAAAGTCTTGGCAAATATATGAAATTGCAATGAAATCTGTCTACCGTTTTTGCTATATTGAGGCCAACTGCTTTGGGACCTTGATTTAATTTTGATGATGTCGAACTCAACGATCAACATGAATTTTCTCAAATCATCCTCGCGAAGTAACTAAGTAGAATTGAGCTTTGTCATAAGAAATATGTTTTCATCCAAGAAAAATTTAAAGAGACGCCTGGAGTAATTGATTCACAGCACTGATACAATTTGTTGGTATTTTTTTACATTTGAAGATTTGGTTTTTATGATTTTGACGTGTATGTATCTGAGTTGAACGCTTGGGATTCTTTATCAAACCCAGTGGCATTATTTTTAAATGATCCAACCATTATCACTAGTAGTAGTATCAGCAGTAAGTTGTTACTCAAAATATTTCCTCAAGACCTACGGGACCACCCAAGTACTCCTGTTTCGATATCGCCGAGCTAGCACACGGCTCCTAGAAGTCGAATTTTTGCGGCCTAGTTGACTAGTTGAAAGCGATTTCAAGTAATTGTCGTCGCAGCTTCCTGTCCAATCTTTGGGAGGAAAGTATTCTGAGGAAGGCGCAGGATGGTAGTTCCCATAAGCTCCCGGTGTGGAACCAGGATCCTTGTTGGGCTCGCCTATAAATAGTATGTACCATGAGACAAAAAAAAATGTTTCTTTTTTCAGTCCTTTATAGACTTTCAATTTCAATGCTCAGATTGCAAAAACCACTCACATGGGCGTCCACATTTTGGTTGATAAGGATAAGGTTGGCCATTGTCAAAACGCTGAGCCGCGTCTGCCGGCCAAGGCTTCAATGCGCTTTTCCTTTGAGCCCACAGAGGGTAGTGCTCATCGTGGTCCTTCTGCATCCTAGAATAATCCGGCTTGCCGTCATGATACCCGCCACTGATACTATCTTCCCATCCGTACGCTCCACTGGTCGGATTGGCTGTAGGGTGTGGAAAATTTTCCAAATACATAAATTTTTGCGCCCCGAGACCTTCACAATTCTTGTAACACTCACAGATCGGCTTAACACCAGCTACAAGGAAAACGTGAGCAACCAGTAAGGTCAATTTAGATTTTCAAGTTTGTGAATTATGTTCTCAAATTCACTACGAAATAAGAGATAGACTTACAACCTGGACGGCCGCCGAGGTTGCTGATTTTTGAATTGTAGAAAGGACATCAGCAAATGGCACTCGTTTATTAGAAAATTTATAGCTCACTGCCAAAAGAAGCTATGGCCATCCGTATACGACGGCTCGAGATCATCAGGTTGGGGGAACGTAGTGAAAGCATGACAGTTTCCGTATGGCTGGCCAGCGATAGACGTAAGTTAGGCATCGAATCAATGACTCCTCAACGAGCAACATGCCTCGTAGGAGAAGCATTATCAATGTTACCATTTCTGAAAAACAATTCTTACTTACACATCCATGATAACAATCATCGGCATGTTTGACCTCAAAATAAGCAAACAGCTGAACTATAAGCATGGATAACAAAAAGGTGGCACAAGTCAGAGGTGTTGAAGGTGTTAGCTTAGTGCGCATGGCCTGTTCTAATATAGTTGGTGAACTGACCTTTTGGATATGCAAGCCGAGTGTTGTGGCCGCATTCTGACACTTGTATATCAGGGGTCATCGCTGAAGCTATCGAGCTCGAAAGAGAGGTGATCAACATGAGACAGGTACGACGCAGAGAAGAGAGAAACTCGTCTATATACCTGAGTTTCTACTCAACCATTCCTCAGTAGGTTTATGGTCTCGAACGTGCCCTGTGGCTTCATCCCAGTTGGCTTCTGCTCTCAGAATCAGCATAAAGATCTCGAACCAGGAAAGCCAAGAAACGTTCCTCAAGAGTGCATGATCCATAGCTCGGAGGAGAGTCTTAATGGACCAAGTGAATGAGTAAAATGATAAATCAAGCCAAGAATATTGCTTGTTTTTATGAGCCAATGAGCTATGTGTATATGCCTTATAAGGCTTGTTAAAATTTATATAATCGTGCTCTACAATCTGAGTGAGATGGCTGAGGGAAAGACGCAGCAACCACCCAAAGGGACTACCTATTTATTGACTTTCAAAGAGAGTAGCACATTACGGCGCGTCTTAGGGGTTCTTTACCCCCGGGCGAGAGTTAGCGAAAAGAATGTGCAAACGGTCAGTTTGGCCATAAAGCGCAAAGCACATAATTCTTTGGCTGGGCGGTTTGACGTATGCTAATCTGAAGCCAATCAACCAGATTCGAAGTTCACTTGAAGGATTTCCAATAAAACTAGATGGGTGACTTGATCTAGTTCGCTGACGAGCTCTTTTCATTTGGTTACATCGGCTGGCAAAGAAACCAGCGAATATTGGTTGATCAAGATTGTTGATCATGAAGTGATCCAGTACGGACAAGCTGGATCGCTATACGTCCTTCTTGTTCTTCGTTCTTCGCCGGTACGTGCCCCTCCGAGCTTCCGAGATACATAGATATTTTTTTTTCACCATTTACACAACCGAGAACATGCGGGAAGCTCATCATGATGGGAGTTTTTGACCGTGTACATCGGTAAGATGCATTCCTCCCCTGGCGCAATTTGAGTGGTGTGCGGCGCTCAGAGTCGCACAATATCCAACAGGTCCGGTCAAACTGGGAATGGTTTGGGGTGACCAGTTCTGAAGTAATAGAGGAAAGGGTACCGGTACCTCATTTGAGTGACATAATGACGAAACGCAACGGTACCACAATCTACGGGAAAATCTCAAATGTGTCTGTCTCCAGTCCCATAGGGTTATTGGGGAGACTATCGGCCCACTCGACTGATGTTTGAGCGCGTTTTTGAGAACAATGGACTGGTGCACGTGATCCAAGAGAGCAGGAGAAAGCTCCTATGAAGTTGTGCTGCTCTGGCTACCGCACTGCCAGCGGCCAGTTGACCGGGATGTCCAAGGTTTCTTCGTGGACAAGGGTTGTTCACTTTTACAAATTCTTTGTTGGCGGCACTCGGAGGAGCTCGAATTACAGTTGAGGGTGGGACCTTCCATGGACTACCATATCTTCATGGACTACCATATCACTCACAAATAGAACTGGAAATCGAAACCTGTTCGACGGCCATCGATGGCTTGCGGACAGTTTTGGTTCTCCTTTTGGCTGATTTTTTATGCTGGAGTCTGGAGGCCCACCGCTTCAAAACTGCTATTCGTTCAAAAGTTGCAGGGTTTCTTGAGGTCAAATCATCATTTTTTTTTTTTTTTTCAATGTAAACATTCTGCATTCGGACTCCGCCATATACACATGTGTTGTTCCATCAGGACTTGCTCAATGTATGTCATCACCTTGCGGCAGCGCGAATCCAACAATCAATTTATTACTTGTGATCCCGAGAGTGAACTAATTAACACAAGCGACACTTTATGTAATGAGATCAAGGAGACGGTTTGAACTTGTCAACAGTTTGTGTCGATAGAAATCGTCGAAGGAGATGCAGCCATCTATATCGTGATCTTCTTGTAGCAATCGCATCGGCTCGCTCAGGAGTCATTCCCCACTTCCTCTGTCCCTCGCCCTTTCTGATCCAGCCAACTTTCCGATTAGAATAAGCTGGATGTTTTTGGCAGTTTCGCGCTTTAGTCACACTCATGAGGCCAGTGGTTCTAAGGAGCCAATCCAAATAGTTTTTACATGGCATACTTGCATCCCAATGCCATCTTTAGATTCTAATAACGAAAGCTTTTGGAGGAATCTTGATTGTTTCTGGTTGTTTTGACATTATGCAACCGGAGTGTACGAACTGGGTATGGCTGAACGCCGGGCCACGGAACTCTCTGTTATGAAAATACAAAGAAGCCCACTTCAGACTTGCCGTGGTTTATGTGGCGCGAGGGTCGATTTTTCACTCATCCAATTGACTCGGCAATCCTGCCCAACAGTGCAGGCTAAGCCACCAACACCTCCCGCCAGATCTTGTGTCATGATATATGGGTGAGGAAAGAAACATGAACCAAGCGGGCTGATCACCAATTAAGGGAATACAAAGTACAGAGACAGACTACGTATTTACAAGGAAAGAAACTGCAAAGTAGAGTAGGAACAAGCACAAAGCGTGAAACGACTCATAGAGCTGTTCCTCGCTCGATGTTTTCTCGGATCTCCTCTGTATATTGGTTGTAGAACCGGCCAATCTGTGTGGGAAGAGAATATTGTGATTAGTGAGATTGCCCAGAGAGCTCTGGTCCAGTTAAGTGGAGAGCTCACTTTTTGATTGAACGCCTTGTTCTTGTCCTATGATGGTAAAAAAGAGATGCAGGTTCAGTAAATCTCTCCAGGACCAGAAAACGACTGGGGTGCCACTGACGTTGATGTAAGTAATTTCGCCGTCCTCTTCTTTCCTGACACGAGAACGTTTGCTCCTCTTGTCGATACTGTGGAGATGAATTGAAATGTGAGTTGTATTTCTTATAGATATCTCTATCAAATTATCTGATACACACTCAAGATTAAGTTTTCCGACAACACGATCAACTGCTTCTTCGGTCGGTCGATGATCAGCATAGACTAAACTGTCCATGTTCCTGTAGAGGTTCTCGGCAGCCGCTCGCTGGATGACCGATGTGGATGATCCACTGACGAGTGCAGAGCTTGTGGAGGCCCCGGAACCGGTAGCGGCCGCTCGTTGTTTATTATAGCTGACCAAATCGGGCTTGAGGCTGTCAATATCTTTTTTATATTTCCGCCTTGCATAATCATCGTAATCTGTAAGATAGCAAATCATTTCAGGACTTCAATCGTGACGAAGTGCTAATCTCAAGATGTGCGACTGGAGTAATGTAGTGATGTGCAAACCGGTGAATTCGTGATTGCCTCTGCTCGCTTTCTGTTTGAGTTTTTTATCCCATCTTTCGTTGTCTTCAATGCTATATTGCCATGCACGCTTCCGCTCCAAATCTTCACCAGCTTCGGCTGCTTCCGCTTTTTGTCCCAGTGCAATCGCCTGGGCTTTCTTACGCTCCAGGCGCGCAATTTCCTTGGCGCTAACATGCGATCGATTTGCTTCTGCGATAACGTCTTTCCGGTTAGCTCGAGACGATTGTTCCTGATCCAAGACATCGATCCAAATATACAGTCAGCAAAAATCACTTGCAGATAAAACCGGAAGAAGGTTGGAATGAATCGACCTACCATTCGCTTACGGAGTTCCTGTAGTTTTTCAACCCGCGATTGCATTGCATCTGTCGTAGCGGGAGATTCTGTAGCCGGAGCCTCCGTGGTTGACATGGCCAAAGGAGCAGTCTGTGCTTGATGATGGGGTTGAGTGGAGGAGTATCTGTTGAAGCGGTGGAGGTGGTATGTTTTTAGTTGTCGGTGCCGACCGAGTCAGCTGGGGGAGAGGTTGAAGGTATGTTGACTGAGCTCCCGGGGCTAATCCCCGGAAACCTCGAGTATCTCCCGGGGGGTGGATGACAGCACTCAGTAACCAGTTGACAATGAACAGAATCATACTACATAGAGCTCAACTCCTCAAGTCAACCTCTTTCAAATTCAACCCAATAAATACCACAAAGGTATAATTATCTTTGATGTGATGCAGTACTATTTGATAAACCAAACCAAAATAAAATCGATCAACAATAGGGGTGTGCTTTGAAACCAGAAAAGCAGAACAAACTTCACACCCATATTGCCCACTGGATTGACTCATAACAAAGTTGTGGATTATGTAGCAGACAAGAAATTGATTGACATCTATCATATGAAAACAACAAATTCAAAAATTCCTTCCAGGTTATCTGATATTTTGAGAGGTCTGAGGAAGCATAATCAGCTAATTTGAAGCAAAAGTTGGGTCAGTCACACATATGGTTCAACAAATGAGGCCACTCTGACTCTGGGTTCCCTAGAACCTTTGTATTTGATTCAATTTTTCTTGCTGTGCATGCTGAATCATATATCCAAAGTGTGTAGCAACACAAGAATAGATCTTTTGACTCTTTGAATTCATTCTCCAAAAAGGGTGTTCAAAATTACCTAAATATCTTTTTACTTATCGGCATAATCCTGCATAATCTGCAATTTTGTCTGGGACCTGTCAGTTTGAGTTTTAAGTTTGCTGACAGGTCCCATCCAAAATATTACACTATGCAAATAAGTAATTACTCACTTAGGTAATTTTGAACACCCTAATACCCCAGTATTTCATACATAGACCTGCCATGATGGACTTGATGTGAATAAAATTGATTCAAAATTTCAAATCAAGACTAATAATCCACTGTCACAAAGTTATCAGGTGAATTTTTTTGAAATTTGATTTTTTATACAATCATTGTATAATATCTGCTAGTAGAAAAGCCTACAAAAAGGTGATTTCTAATCTTTTGAAAACTGGTTTTGTAATTCTGATGTGAAGGAAGGATTGTTTTTTTGTATACCTACTTAGGACCTGATTAGTTGTATATGAACAATCAGAGTCATCTCATGTTTTATTCACCAGGAAGAAAAAAATAGTCACTTGTCAAAAGTTGACATTGAGAAAAAATTGTAATAGCTCTGTTCCAACCCCTGTTGTACTAAAAGTGGACTAAAATGGGCTCTTTTGCCTCTTCAGGGGGCTGCAAGCACTCACAAGGGGGGAGATGATGGGTAGCAGGCTGAACTTGGCTGGATGTCATCTTTCATCTGGCAATCATTTATTTTTCCTGGTGATTTAGCTCCAATTGAATTGTGTCAGTCCATCAAATCTTGTAATTAACCATCCACTGAATAGGTTTTTCTTCTGTTGCCCACTTCTTTTCCTCATATTTTTTTTATTAATTAGGAGAGTGTTAATTCAATCTTTCCCACAATAAAAGTGGAATAAAAGGAATCTTATATTTTGAAATGATTTCACCTTTGGACACAATGGAAGCTTTGAACAGTAAACACAATGGAATTGAATAGAAGGTTTAATGAGGCATTGTGACAAATTCTGCCCGCTTTGTCAAAATCAGCAACACATTCAACATGCATTGGCATGTCTTGTTGGGGTGATGTGGAACAAGCTTCAATAGTTTCTATGAATTTTTCTTTGCATAAATACATCACTATGCATGTTTTTCTTTAACCATGCAAGCAGTTCCCACACTGGCATTAGATAGTGTTGTGCCTCAAGATACCTTCCAATAGCGGGGTTCACAATTGAACTTTTTGCTTCTGAGTTTGATAGAATTCTTTTGTGGTCTTTGCATAAAACCTGCAAACTCAGGAGACCTTCAGCACTACACCTTGCCTGAACAAATCAACTTCACACTTGCTACAGGTTGTCAAAGTGTTTGTTGGACTGAGACAATCAAGTCTCCAAAGGCTTGATCAAATCACTTTGATGTGTTCAGCAATATAAAAAATTTACCACTATTGTAAGCATCTGTCAGTACTTCTGAGTTTCAGAAGGGTTGCTTCTGGCAAATCCCAATTGTGAACCCCGCTAATGCCTTTTTCCCTGGTTCAAGCCCCCCTCTTCTTATGATTTAACCAGATTGAGGGCTGTGTCCTCTGTGGTGGGCTGCTGCTGGTTGAGATAGCTTTCCCAGCTTGTTTCCAAAATTGTAGTTCCAAACCTCACATTAGCGGGGTTCACAACACAGATTTTGAATCCTGACCCGCGTCAAACTGAATATAAAATTAAGATTTCCTGAGCTTAATTTATGCTAAAATTAAGCTCAGAATTCACATCTCAGGAACCATAATCGGTTCCTGAGCTCAGCTTTTCAACTCATAACATTATTAAAATTGTTATAACGAGAAAACTCTTGCTCAGGCCCTCTGGAAACCCCCCTCTCCAAGCCAAACACCCAACTTCCTCGGTACACGTCATTGCCTGGTGATTTTGATCACTTGTAAAAGTAACACCATCCGCATCGCCATCAGCTCTCCCTTCTAAGTTGGAAGTAAGTTCATCTCACTTCTGTTTGAATTCACAACTTATCTGAATTTACCTTGTTCTCTCTGTGATTAGATTGAACTTGACAAAGGGCCATCATTTTAAACAGCTCGAAACCAGTGACTGTACCCAAATCATCAACGATGGTGAGTGTGTCTGAACTATCAAGTTGATACAAGTTGACTGTATGTATGGGGTAGCTTAGATGAATGTACTCAATCTCTTCACAGACAAACAAAACAGTCAATCCATCCCTTCTTGCAATGTCTCAGGAAATATCTGAGGTCAGGCCGGACTTGCCGGACTTGACCATCCCAGCCCCTTTGAATCAAGCCGCAGATTCCTCATCTACTCCAAAGCCAAAACAAAACCGCCGTACCAATGCCGAGATGGAGATCTACAGGGCGAGCCAAGAAATCGAGAAATCGACTTCAAAGAAAACCAACAACGAGCAAGAGTTCAAATATTGGGTTCCAACTGCTAGACGCTTGGCTGCCCTCAAGAAAAATTCTAATGCACACCGTTCAGCAGCAAAGCCAGCAACTAGTACGAGCAGAACTGCAGACACCAATCCTCAGTTTATTGCGACTGACTATCAGCTTATTTGTAGTTACCTTGAAGATCCCCAACACTACACCCAAATATATGGAAATGGTACTAGAACATCGGTTGGCCCTCAATCTTCAACTAAGGGTGCAGCATACGATGTGTTTGCTATCTACATGAACGAACAGACCAACAAACGACTTCACCTTGATGGGAAGCTCCTCCGACAACAGATCGAGGCTTAAAAGAAGAGATTCACCAACGCTAAGCATTGGGCTGATACGACTGGAGCTGGTATCGATATCTGTGATAATGGGATCACCATCAAAGCAAAGTTAGAATCGATGTGCCCCTGCTATGAGAGAATGGATCAGATTTTCGGAGGCAAGCCAAATGTTACACCGGCAGCTCAATATGAGTCTCAAGGCGGGATGGAGCTATACAATCAACCAATGGATGATGACCAACTTCGATCCACCGAGTTGTTTTGCTCCAATCGGGAGGTAAATGAAAATCAAGAGAATTTGTCAGCCCAAGATCAACCTGAAGATCAATCTCACATTGCTGCTGCCGGTGAAGAAACCACCATGGGAGGAAATGCTGAGTTACCTGAAGGTGAGTTGTTGGTAGCTTTCAGATGCACTAATCAAGTGCTGACTCCACATTCTCGGAGCATTGCAGAACCAAATACCAGGTCTACTCCAGCCTTGCAAGCAGAAACCCGTCTTTCTGTCCAATCTCAGCTGTTGCCGCATCAATTGTCCATCCAAACTGGGACCAATCAGCCCCGTCGCACCATGGCATCAATTCTTGGCAACCTCCAGAGGTCGGTTGCCCTTGATGAGGCTGAAGATGCTGCAGATGAAGTCGAAGATCCACCAATCGAACCTGGTCCCTCTCAAGGTCTTTTTGCAAATCAGAATGTGGACAACCAATCAGTTCCGGGACCAAGACGAGAACCAACCGGAAACCAAAAGGGAAATTCAACTGTTGCAGCTGCATTCAAATCATCGGCCGACAAAAAATTCTCCTACCTCAACAAGCATATGGCTATGGAAGAGCGTAAGTTTGAATGGGAGAAAAAAAAACATTCAGCTGAACAAAATAATTCAACTAAACAAGCCAATGCCAAGTTACGTATGGCTGAAAAGCTGATGAGTGAGGGACGAAGCGCTGCTGAGATTGAGATCATCATGAGATGTGCATTCTAGGTTTTTTATTCCTCTCCAATATGACACTGTAGCTGAAATGCAAATCTCTGCATGTATCTAAAAGTTGGTTCGAAGTGCTCTCACTTGGTTTTACACAGCTCATAATCAATCAGATTTACACTATATTAAAAAAACAATAGGAATATGTATAAGACACAGAATATCCAGCTATGTATGTACAAGCCTAGAAGGAAATAAGCAAAAAAAGACAAAGACAAAAGACAAGTGAAGTGTTGCAAGAAGATATAATGAATTGATACACATTTTAATTTGAATTTTTTATTGGAAAAAGAGAGAATAAGTACACACATAAATATATATAGTGTGAAAGAAGGACCAAAGGGAGGGAAGAGACAAGAAGGGAGAGGAAAAGTTCAAGAAAAACAATCATGATGGCCGGCTTTACCAAAAGACCTATTCCTGAAATTACCTCTACATGGAGCTGAATTTCCGCCTCTGTGGCGTTCTTTATCTCCTGCGCTATGAGAAGGGAAAGTCACTTTGGAAGTTGACTTGTGATTCTTGCTCAGTTTGGTTTACCGTTCTTTGGGTCAAAACCAAATTTGTCCACGTGAGTTCTCAGTTGAACGATCGGGCTAGGGATGTGATTTGAAGGATGTAAGATGCTGTTTTCGGCTAGGTCCGTCCAGGCTCCGATAAGCCTCTTTTGTCTATCATCCGGGTCACCGAAATGGGGAGATTTGGATGGTGCGGCAAGAATTGATTGGTTTTCGGACTGAATGACCTGTTCGACTTGTTCTTAAGGTGCACACCGGGCTTGATCTGGAGCAGGAGGGTATTGTTGCAATGGGTTCTGAGGAAGTTCTTTATCCTCGGCCGGTACTTCATGGATCCCAAATGGTAGGTATGGGCCAACCTTGACTGTACGCCAAAGGCCAACCCACACCACAATGGGGAGGGGGATGGACTGTACGCCCGATCACCCCAGCCCACAGCACCAGAGGGATCCAATCATCCAAATCAAATCTACATCCCTGGTCTTCCTGTTATATGTACAACTTTCAACCAACAGATAATTGATTGTCGCTTTGAGCGTTGATAAGAGATCTTACCGTCGATGAACGACTCTCTTCTGTCTTCTCTGCTTCCGCTTGACGCCCTTCAACTGGCGTCCGAACCGGCACTGTGGGCTTCAGTTCTAGGTGATGTAGGAATAGAGAACAAAAAAACAGTTAAACATTGGAGCAAGCATGCATCATTCTCTTTGAACACAGGACTTGTGTCAGAGCCTACTGAATAGCGGGGTGCATGGCCTGGACAGGCTCACATGCAATGTATAATGTCACCAATCTAGAGTCAAGGTATCAAAGGGCATGGCCAGCCCGGCCCCAACGTCAAGTACAACCCCAAAAGCCCGCCGTCTGATGAGTTCGAATTTCCTCTCCCGATGGAGTTTATCGGTATCTTCGGCCACACGTCTCCATAAATGGAAGAAGAAAGTTCTTGATATCCGAGCTCTGACATCCCGCCAATGAATTCTAGAATCATTGGCAGTCAAAGAAGAAGGAGGTGTTGGGCATTTAAAATCTCGGTTTTGGATCCGATCGAGGTTCTCAAAGAGCGTCAGGATCACCACCAATAGATCTCCCTCTTCTTCTCCTTGAGGAGGAGGAGGTCAATGGGGGGGTGAGAAGATTGGATGGGAAGACGGGGTTCGGCGGGCATCGAAGTCCGGGTGCGATAGGAATAACGAGACAAAGAGCGGCGACACTTGGACTAGAATCGTCAGGATATGGATAGCCTCTGTTTGCGCTTCAATCTGTATAAAAAAATCTACCATCATCAGTCAGAAAGAAATAAAAATAATGGCCAAAAAGTGAAGAAGGGTGAAACACTGACTAGATTGGTGAGACTCAAGAGCGCACAGATCTGGACGAAGAGCAAGCCGATGCGGACAACAAAGACGAAGACACAATCATCCTCATCATGATCATTGGCGGCGAGAAGATGAGTGTTTGACATCAACGGAGCGGAAAGGAAGGAGAGTCTAGTCTGGCTGGGTCTTCGACTCCCTTCTTCTTTGGTCTCTTTTCCTTCACTCTTTTTGGTCGAAGAGTCTTCTTCAATTAGGGTCACCATAAAGCTTTGGAAGAGTCGGACGATCACCTGTTTTTTTTATCAATTTTGGAGTATTATTTTTTTAGCTCCAAACACAAAGGAGCAAACAAAAAAATATGATGTAGGAGAGGGGGACTGACTGTATGGATGATTAGCCAGTGGACCGGCTGATCCAGTAGGTGGAGAAGAGCTTTGAGTTGACGAAGGAGAGGGGTGTTGCTGTTGAGAGGTAGAGAACGGAGAGGCAGGAGGAGGGGAAGGTTCAAGGAAGGAGATCGAAGGCCGAGGATGAGGACGGGCGGGCAAGTTTTGAGGCTTGGCGGTTTCTAGGATCAAATTAAGAAGGTATAGGCAGAGTTCCGATGTGGTGGTTGATTTCAAGACACTTTCTTTGAATTTCATCACGATGCACCAAATGGCTTGCTTGCTGTTGAACCATGGCTGCTGCCTCAAGACTTCCATCTTCCCAGCAGATCATTTCATCCCACGAGTTCCCAAGATGAGCG